AGAACAAAACATTGTGTGGTACTGGCCATTTTGATTAAGTACACTGTTAACAAGAAACGGAAGAGGAATGGCATCACATTTATCGCCAAAAAGAGATTTCAAGATCTATCTTGAAGTACAATGCTGTCTCTGATAGGAAAATATCCATATGCCTTAGGAAGACCAGTTACTACACTATTATTCAAACTTACACACCAACCACCAAAGGCAGGGATGAGCAAATTGAAGAATTCTACCACTGGTAGCATAGTGGTTATGAGTTGGGCTGCTAACCCTAAGGTCAGCAGTTCAAAACTACCTGCCGGAGAAAGATCAGGCTTTCTGCTCCCATAAGGACTTACAGCCTTGGAAACCCTATACAAGGTCACTATGAGTCAGAACCGACTCCACGGCCCATCACCACCACCATAATCTTCAGTCTGAAATTAATCAAGATGCACTGATAATTCCTGGTGATTGGAGTGCAAAAGTTGGAAACAAAGAGGAAGGATCAGTACTAGGAAAATACAGCCTTGGTGATAAAAAAAAAAAAAATGACGCTGGGGATTGTTACAGTAGAATTTTGCAAAACCAACAATGTATTAATTGTAGATGCCTTTTTAAACAGCATGAAAGGTGAGACTATGCCCCATGACCCCACTATATGGAATACATAGGAATCAAATTGACTAAATGTGTGGGTCCAGATAATGGGGAAACTCAGTAAATCAGCCAAAACAAGGCTAGGAGCAGATTGTGGAACAGACCATCCATTACGCATATGCAAGTTCAGGCTGAAGCTGAAGAAAATCAAAACAAGCCCAGAAAAGTCCAAATATGGCCTTGAATATGGCCTTGAATATGGCCTTGACTATGGCCTTGAATATGGCCTTGAATATAGCCTTGAATATGGCCTTGAATATGGCCTTGACTATGGCCTTGAATATGGCCTTGAATATGGCCTTGAATATGGCCTTGAATACACCCCACCAGAGTTTAGAAACCACCTCAATAACAGATTTGATGCGTTAGACATTAATGAACGAAAACCAGAAGACAATGCATGATGGCAGGTGATTCATAAAAGGCATTGGAGGTAGGACTACTGGTTCTTGGTCCAAATAAACAATTTGCATTTGTTTTATACTTTAGAGTGTCCTTGTGGGTCTTAGGCTCTGTTTTGGTCTCCATCTGGGCTAGTTGGTTTTGTTCTCTCCCACAGCTATGGTAGCGTAATGGTTACGAATCGGGCTGCCAACCTGGAGGGCAGCAGTTCGAAACTACCAGTGGTCCCGTGGGAGAAAGATGAGGCATTCTGCTCCTGTAAAGATTTACAGCCTTGGAAACCCTGTGCAGGGTCACTATGAGTCGGAACCAACTCCACAGTTCTTAACAACAACAACAGTTACAAGCTGTCAAAACAAGCCAATACAATGAATGTATTCTATTATGAAAGAGTCCCAGTCGCACAACGGCTCCACACTCAGCTGCTAACAAAAACGTCAGAAATATGAACCCACCTAAGAGCTCTGTGGGAGAAAGACCTGATGATCTGCTTCTATGAGTAAGGACTACAGTCTAGGAAATCCCACGGGGCTGTTAAAGTCTGTCCTGTGGAAAGTCACTATGAGTAGGGACAGATTTAACAGCAACATTCTATATACCAGTATAAAAAAGAAGACTAGTCTATGGGTATATTCATTTCAGTTACTGGAAACCAAATCAAATAGAATGGAAATCACGACCCATGGTAAACCCTTCAATTCTGAAGCAGCTAGCTTACAACAGAGCTTCGAACCCGGTCAGTCAGGTTCGACCCCCTGCTGAGAAATCTGGTTTGAGCAATTCTGAGAAGGAAGCAGAAGTGACATTTTAACCAGATTCCCAGCTGATTCTTACCTATACATGCTTATCTTTAAGTAGACCTAACAATCACTAGGTGTAAACGTAAGAATCACCTGGGGATGTTGTTAAAATGGAAATTCTGTTTCAGTATATCTGGAGTGGAAAGGTAAAATCTCAGCAAGGTATTGAACCATAATGCATCAGTTCAAAAGCCCTGGAAAATACAATAGACAAGTTATAACAATTATTACTTAACAAAGGTCTAATATCAGGCTCTGTGAAAACGGTGTTCTTGAAACACCAAAAATCTGTCCAAAACACTCTATGCAAAATGGGTCAGGATGCTTGGTACAACTGGGCTTCCGTGCACAAGCCTAGTGTGATGTGGTCGGCAGATCAAGCAGAGCAGCAAGTTTTCAGCTTGTCTTCCATTAACCACACCCTCCAGTATAAAGCTCACTCTGTTAAAACAACGCTTTTGCCTTTTAAAATGTTGCCCTAAGCACTCTAGTGCTTGCCAGCAAAGCTAACCACAAAGGTAATGACGCTGTGCGTTTCATTTCTCCAGTCCTCGCGTCTGCCAGCATTATAAATGAATCATTAGCAGTATCAAATAGATTGCCATTGTTACTTGCTACTGCTGAGAAATCTCATTTCTTTCAAGACAGCAATAGGACACTTTGGATTTAATAACTGAAGGGAACAGAAGGCACGCAAAGTTCAAAGAATCTACAAGTATACTGGCCCAACTTCCTGGAATATTTGTCAATGAGCTCAAAACCGAATAGAGAATTTCATCACAAGGCCCTGGTTGGCAAAAGATGGAAACAACACAAGCATCTGTCAACAGTGATAGGTGAACAAAATGTGGTACATGTTGTATGTGGCACATACATACAATAAAATACTAGCCAGTCTTTAAGAAACATGAAGCCCTGGTATGTGCTACCACATGGCTGAATCTTGAAAATACTATGCTGAGTAAAAGAAGCCAGTTACAAAAGGACATATATTGTGTGATCCCATTAATATGGAAGTTACGTGTATTAGTGATTACGAGTGTGGAAAAGGGAAAAAGGGGGGTCATTGCTCAGAGGGCACTTTGTCATTGTTGCTGCTAAGTGCCATCGAGTTGGTTCCAACTCATAGCAATCCTGTTTGTATAGGGTTTCCAAGGAGCAGATGATGAGTTTGAAGCTCTGACCTTGCAGTCCAATGCTTTATCCACAGTGCCACCCCAGGACTCCTGGGCTTCTGTTACTGGAGGTAGAATACTGTGGAATTGGATAATGGTGATGACTGTCCAACTGAAGTAGTAATCAGTATCACTCTCAATTCAAAAGATGTTGAAGTGGCAGGTATTTTCTTACACATATTTTTTTTAATCACAATAAAACATTTTTTAATGGTCCAACAAGATAACCAATAAACATGGTCACTGGTTCAAAAACAATACAATAAGCCTCATCTTTGCTTTATATGATTGGAAAGGAAAGGTTACTTGTTGGGCTGGTCACCACAGAGTTGGCAGTTCAAACCCGCCAGGCATTCCTTGGAAATCTGATACAGGGTCGCAATGAGTTGGAACTCACTCAACGGCACTTAACAGCATACCAGATCCCAGCATTCACACACATCGGTCTGACACATCCATCTTCTAGTGTGCAAATGCTCCCTGGTCAGATGATACCCAAACAAATAGAAATAAACTTCTACCTCCATGCTAGATTTACTGTTGTGGTTGTTAAGTGCCATCGAGTCAATTCCAACCCATAGTGATCTTGTATAGGGTTTCCAAGGAGCATCTGGTGAGCTTGAACCACTGACCTTGCAGTTCAAACAGCTTTGCAGTCTGGCACATTAACCCACAGCACCACACCAGGACTCTGACTATGTTGGTAGGTGCTTATTATCAAGTGCCTAGAATTTCAGGCTAATTCTCTGTGGTCTGTGATAGTCAAACAGGAGTCACAGAGATGTTTAAGGGCAGTGAAAAGATTGATGCTAGGCCAGAAAATGAGAACATGATAGTATTGTGTAGGGCAGCGTGAAGACCACACAGGAGGCTGTTGCCCTTGTACATGCACAGCCAGAACTGGGTTAATGGCAATGGAAACATGAAAAGGTTAGAAAATGAAAGAGCAAGCCTTAGGATTAAATCTATGAAATTTAGATGCTAGTGACAAAAGGAAGATAAAAATTGAAGACACCAATTTAAGGTTTATGGTATTGGTTGCTGTTAAGTGTTGCCAAGTCACTTCGTCTTATAGCGACCATTTATGGGGCTTCCAAGGAGTAGTTGGTGGGTTTGAACGGCCAACCTTGTGGTTAGCCATCCAGTGCTTAGCCTATAGCACCACACCAGGTAGTTGAAAGAAACAGAAGAAAGAAAAAACCGTTCCAGCAAGATGATAAGCCCTTTGCTTGACATGCACACCAATGGCACACGCAGGGATGATGTCTAGGGTGAAGTAGATCAAGGAGGTTGTGGGTCTGGGGAGAGAATGCAGGATGGCACTGTATCAGTAGAGTGAGCCAGAAATACAATCACCGCTCCAGATCTACAGACTAGAAGGACTGACTACCTGTATGAATCACTGGGACAAAAGTGGTATTTAGGAGGAGGAAGACGAAAGAGGGCTCAGAATAGGACAGAGAGAGAACAGAACAATCATAAGATTGGAGAACAAATACTGTGCAGAGTTCCACATGCTTATGTCTGTGAGTACGGCCAAGAGGTGGGCACCTTGTTCAAAAGAACTAGCAGGTGGTGGGAGATAAACTTCAGGGTGAAAACCGCTTGGATTTAAACTGTTGCTGTTCTTAAAATGTTGATGAGTGTTCCAATTCATAGCCACCCTCTATAGGAGTAGCTATGGTGGGTTTGACCCGCTGACTTTGTGGTTAGCAGTCCAGTGCTTATCCTACAGTGCCACACCAGGACTCCAGCAGCTACTGGGTTGTTTATTATAGTGACCATTTAGATCAGTGGTTCTCAGCAGTGTAAGAACACCTGAGCCTTGGGGGAAGATTTTTAAAATGATCGACGGGGAGGCATATCATGGATCATTAAATCAGTTTGCTGGAGAGATGCCCAAGCATTAGTTGTTTGAAAGTCACCCAGATGATTTCAATGACAGCCAAGGTCAAGAACTACTTGCTCTGAAGACAATGACATCGCAGCAAGATATTCAATATCAGTAAAGTAGAGAACTCTTGGTGATGTCAAAGTGCTGTTGATTTGGTCCCTATACGGGATTTCCTAGGAGTGGCTGGTAGGCTTGAGCCACTGACCTTGTGGTTAGCAGTCCAGTGCTTATCATACAGTGCCACACCAGGACTCCAAAATAAAGACTAAGGGGCAGTAGGTAGACTCTTCATGACATCGGTGTAGGGAGGTGGGCAGGAAGGTTTCTTTAGGATAAGAAGAGAATGAGCATGCTTTATGGACAGAGAACTAAGCCTGTGGACAGAGGAAATGGACATTGTGCTGGGCGGGAGAGAGCAAAGGCTGGATTCGGGTGGATGGAGAATAATGGAAGATTTGGGAGAGGGTCTAATCCAAAGCACAATTCCTCATCTGTGTTTTGGGTGACATAGAAGAAAACATGTCCCAAACAAAAAGTACCACAGAAGAGAACTAAAGATGAAGGTAAACCAGGACAGTTGAGGTAGAGAGGGGCCATGCTAGAATGACTTTAACACGGTGTCAACTGGTAAATTCATTTGGGAGGATTTGGGGTTCTAAGAAGTGGAGGAGGACTAGACCAAACATCTAAAGGAAAAGAACCTATGTCCTCATTTCACTGAGGTGGGTGGGCAATCTTTCAGTACAGCTAATTTGCTTTCCTTTGGCCACAAAGATTAGAGGGGGCAGCTACAGAGCATGGGAGCAAATGGGATGCCTGTGGAAATCAGCTGGTGGAGGTTTCTTCTACACAAGGTCTCACGATGGGAAGGCAGAAACCAACTGCTTTGCCAAAAAGGAAACAGACTGCTGGAATCCAGGTTTCAACTGACATGCACACTGGGTCTAAGGAAAGGTGCAGGTCCGATGAAGAGTTCTAAGGTGAGGTGGCTTTAAATCAGTTGACTATGAATGAATTCTGCACTGAAGAAAGACTGAAAAAAGGTGTGGTTTGTAGTCCATTTAATCCTAAAATGTCAAAATGTTACAAGAAATCAATCAAGTAAAACTAGAATAACACAGAGTTCCGGGGTTTCTGGAAGGCGCTGAGAAACCGGAGGTCAAAACCCAAGTCTAATTTTCCCAATAAATGAAGTCTAACGGAAATTATCAGAGATCATCTAAAAGTTTCAACCTCACGTTGTTGGGGGAATAAAACGTGGAGAATTATCATGAAATAAGTGAACTTTAAAGATTCTATTTCCATTCTGCCAGGTCCTATTTAAATAAAATGGAAAACCAATTTATGACCCATCACCATCTCCCTGCTTAATGTGATAATGACTGCACAGGCTTAAAAGGTTTAATTTAAAATTCGGCCGAGGACTTGGGAAGTTCCCATCAATAATTTGAGTTTTTAAGTGTCACCGACTCTAACCTAGAACTGCTAACGGAAGCTGTCCCATGGACACAATGAAGTTATCCTACGGATAACAAACAACCTACCTGCGTAGATTTGATCGGCCAGGGGCTCTATGGTCTAGAGCCTGGGAAATGGTTTGCATAAAAATCCATATATTGAGTTGAGCAGAAATGAGTTACAGTCTGAGAAGTGAAAAAGTGTCAATTACAGAGTTGGCAAAATAGCCCTCTTAAAAAGTTGTTAACTTTGGTATTTTTTCAAAAAATTCTAAGAATTATATTTAAATATCATATTCCTTTGTCCCCAGTGGCATTTAGAGAAAAAGTAAAACAAACAAACAAACAAAAAAATAAAAATGGAGAAAAATCGTATTCCTTCCGGTAACTTATCATCTTGTTTGTTGTTGTGGTTGTGTGCCTTTGAGTTGGTTCTAGCTCATATCGATTCTATAGAGGGTTTCTGAGAGCAGCTGGTGGGTTTGAACTGCCAGACCTTGCAGTTACCAGTCCAGTGTTTACCCTTCAGTGCCACACTGGACAGGTACATTGGACTTGACTAAAAATGAATGAAGTGAAAGTTTGCATTTACAATGATATATTCATAATGCGTTTGGAAGAGAGGAACACTCCATCACTCATCCCGTAAAAGGTTCTGTTTAGGTCACTTGCATGGTACTATGGGGAATTGGAAGTGAAGCTGAAAGTGTCCCAGTGGAGAACCACAGATTTCTACAGAGAGGCGGCGGGACACAGCAGAACTAAGGAAAACAGACACCACAGACTTAGAAACTGGAAAGATTTCTCAACTTCATGGACAAAACTCTAATGAAGGTACTTTGACCAAGCAAGTGAAGGTTGTTGCTGTTAAGTGCCATGGAGACGGGTCCAACTCGTATCAATCCGGTATGGGGTTCCCAAAGCTGTAAATCTTCATACCAGCAGAAAACCCCATCTTACTCCCACAGAGCAGATGGAGGGCTCGAACAGCCCACACTGTGGTTTGCAGTCCAGTGCTTATCCTACAGAGCCAACACATTCCCATACCAGACGATATTCCGCTGCAATTCAAGTTTTCAGCAGCTAACCTTTCAGAAATGATCTGCCTTCTGCTTCCTAGTCTGTCTTAGTCTGGAAGCTCTGCTGAAAACGTGTCCCCCACAGGGGACCCTGCTGACATTTAAAATACCCGTGGCATAGCTTCCAGTGTCATAGCAACATCTAAGTCATCAAAGTCTGATAAGCTGGTGGTTTCAACAGGCTAAAGACAAACAAAGACAAAGACATCACCCTGGATGGGAAAGTCACCAAATCTTGCAAATAAAAAATAACAGTATTATGCTCCTGGTGGGGCTCTGTGGAATAAAGCACTGGACCTGTGACAGGGTCGGTAGGAGCCACAAGGTTGGTGGTTCAAATTCACCAGAGGCTGCTCATCAGAAACCCTCATACAGGGTTGCTGTGAGACAGAACTGACTGGACAGCTCTTACCAACACCAACACCATCATGTCAATGAGACCAAAGAGTCAACAGCAACTCCAAAGATGAGAGGAACCTTAGGGGCCAGTGAATTCATGTTAAAGGCAGAGAGACAATGCGAGAAGGACTATGGCAGGCAGTCCTTGTGGAACTCAAAGGGCAACCAATGTCACTGAACTGGACGTGCAGAAACGTGGACTGTGTGGTGTATATTCTACAGCGTGTGAGGACAATTCAAAAAGGATTGCTTACAAAATCATAGAACCTTTTATTATTAAAAATATGAAAATGTGAAGCTGCTGTTTCTCTACAGACCCTCATCTAGGTCTCTATACTTCTGAAGGCTGTGTTTCCATCTCTAGCCTTTCCCTGAAGAATTCGGCACTCTTCCATTTATATCACATTAAAACAGCAGTTTTGGCATCCTCAAGGGACTCAAGTTGTGTTTCTTTTATATATTATTTGTGTTTTGGGAACAAAAGTATTGGGGGCGGACTATTGAAGGAGAAGAGCTGGAGCAGAATGTGGGACCCTACCCAGAGAAGTGGGACCCTACCCAGAGAAGTGGCAATGCCACAGACGGAGGCAAAGATGAGGACATGGAGAGATGGAGCAGCTGAGGACTCTAGACTCATGGAGGGAGAGGGGATGTGTGCTGGCAGCCGGGGGAAAGGCTTGCAGGGTATGCCCTTTGGCTGTTTGAAACATTATAAAAACAACAACAACAGAGGGAATAGAAGCAAATACTGTTGAATGTTGAAGCATGCAGGGGATTGTAATCATTGCAATGAAATGATTACAATGTGAAAGTGATGTTCCCCCATGTAAACTATCACTCAATTCACAATAAAAAGTTAAAATTAAAAAAGTATTGGGCACAAGATCAGGACTCTTGTGGAGAAGTGGAAGTTTTCACAATGAAATTCACATAAGACAGCCCTTGCTACCCTTTAAGAATGAGCAGGTGCATTGTCAGAATGGAAAAAAAAAATTTCTCAGCGCAATTTTACTGGTCTTTTTTCCCCATTGGCAGTTTTCAATGTTCTTAAAAATGTCTTCATAAGCTCCCATGATTGTCCTCTGTCCTTCACGAAACTCTATCAAGATGGCCTCTTTGGAATTTCAAGAAAAAAATTGATCATAACCTCTAAGCTAACCTCTCTTGCCTTGAATTCATCTTTGGGGTCTTTCTGGACATCCTTAAAATGCTGGATCTATCTGAAAACTCGTGTTTAATGTGTAGCATTCCGAAAACTTTTGCAAAAGCATCAGTGATTTGGGAAGATGTCTGCTTGAGTTTTGTTAAAAATTTGATACTAGCTTAGATCTTAAAATTATATCATTTTCCATGACACAAACATCCTTTTAAAATTATTATTTTAAAGCACCCTAGTGAACCTTCAGAGAATGAGTATTCTGGAACACTTAGTTGTGCTCATGAGGAACCTGTACATAGACCAAGATGCAGTTGTTTGCACAGAACAAGGGAACACTGAATGGTTTAAAACTAGGCGAGATGTGTGTCAGGGTTGTATTCTTTCACAAAACTCATCCAGTCTCAATGGTGAGCAAAGACGGGCAGTGTTTCATTCTGTTGCGCAGAGGGTCGCTGTAAGTTGGAACAGATTCATCGACATCTAACAATGAGTCCTGGTGTGGCGCTGTGGGTTAATGAGCTGGACTGCAAAGTTGGTTTGAACCACAAGGTCAGAGGTTCAAGCTCACCAGCCACTTCTGGACGCTATGGGTCAGAACCAACTCAACAGCGCTTAACAACAATAACAACAACAACTAGATACACACAAACACACAGTCTCATGGACATATGTATATAACATATATACACGGCGTGGCAAGCTATAAAATAACAATGTTTGCTTGAACTCAAGGAGTCCTGGTGTGGCGCTGTAGAATAAACACTGAAGCACAGGTTAGTTTGAACCATAAGGTCAGCAGTTCAAACCCACTATCTCCGATCACATTGATACTGACGCTGTTTATGTGTCATGTGACATGTCACCCAGGTGACAGGCTCTGGCATCAGACAGACCATGGTGTCAAGTTCCAGATTCACTGCTAAGAAGGTTCATGATTGCACAGTTTGACTATTCTAAACTCAGTGTCTCAGAGAGAAAATGAAAGTACTAATAGATATTCACATGGAGTCCTGGTGTGGCGCTGTGGGTT